TCTCTCTCTCTCTCTCTCTCTCTCTCTCTCTCTCTCTCTCTCCTATTCCTATTTAAACCTTGCTCTATAATTTTATGCCCCTGGGAATGTTATTCATTTCATTGCAATTTTGTAGGATGTACAAAGTACATCCTAAAATTGAGATTAGCTGTTAGTTTCACTATTATGATTTTACAAAACAGTTATTGAAGCATGGGGTTTGTTTTATGTACGGAGACGATCATTTTGCTAAACATACATAAGCTCATTTCCGTAATCCCTGAGAAATGTAAATCAACTATGTTGTCAAAAGCCGAAAAGCATAACTGGTACTGGAAGCAGTCAAGCTTGATAGTAACTTCCAGTGAATTATGAGTAGGTTCTAGTCTACCACAACCTCTCCTCGAGTTGCCCATTCCACAGCCACCTTGGAGCAACCAAGGCCCATCATTCCACCATATAGGAGGTCAAATGGAGGAACAACAATTGGAATGCATGAGTCAGCCCCATGCAAAGCTTTCTCCGGCTGATCACCATGTTGCATTCATCCATCTGAAACCCTGCAAGACAAAAGCCATTTGCCCCACTTTCCAAAGCCAGCAAGGGCTTCTGCAGCGGAGTAGATGGATCTAAGCAACTTTTGGCATCCAGATCAGGAGTTCCAATTCTTACTAGAACTCAGAAAGAGGATCAAGACCTCTCCCAGACACAAAACTCAAATAAAGTTGGACAAGCACAAGCACCTAAATAAGGGTAATTCACCAGCAGTAGTAAGAGGTATATGACAGCTTTTTTTAGGACTTGTTCTAATTTAAAATTAGTAGATAACGCCTACTAATATTAGAATAAAAAAACAGTTGGTAAGCCTCTTTAAGATATTCTTGCTGTTTATATTCCAACTTCCTGCAATTTTACAGCTTATTTCACCAAAAAAAACATTTAGTTTTTAGTTAGACTATTCCCTTGTGAGGCCTCTTACTTTCCTTGAATTGGAGAAGCAGCAGTTAGTGGGCTTCAATTCTAACAATCATGTCTCTGATGATGGGTAAATATCCATCAACTTATTCCCCCCAAAAGGATGCAACCTAAGGACGACAAATTTTGAAGTTTTCTAGCAACAATGACAATAGGCTGCTGCATTACTGCATAAACTGTCTCACAACTGTTCCTTAAATAAATGTCCTCTTAGTTGCCTTGAGAAAACCACATGAATTCAGGGAAACTTGTATGCTGAAAAAAACTGTATGCTGAAAAAAACTGTAAGTAGCTTAATAAGAAATCTTGTATGCTGAAAAAAACTGTAAGTAGCTTTTATTTTAAAAAACTGACACTGACCTTATATTACACCTCAATAGAAAAACTTACATCTGAAAATTGGAAAGACATGTAAAACTCAAAATAGGGAAACTAAAATTTAACCAGGCAAAATACTATTCATACCTACAACAAAAGTACCAATCACATTTGTTATATGCATCTTGGCTGACAATGTCCTTGGTAATGAGATACAACATGCTACTGGAAAAACAGCTAAGATTTAGAAAAGATGATTGGTGGTTGAAGCTATTGGTTCCCTGGTGAATGACAAATAGCGATTGGAGGGAAACTAAACAGAAGTCTCCCCTCAGATTCTAGAAATCCAAAAAAGAAAGAGTTGTGCAAAATCTAGATCAATGAAGGTCAAATCCTTGGTACAAAGATAATTGCAGACATGTTTAGAAAGAAAAAAAACTTTGAGAAACATCAGAGAAATTATTTACAATGAGCCTGAACCAACATACATCCAGGAGAGTCTGTTTACGATAAGAGAACAGTTGACTTGTGAAGGCTCATGGTGTCCATTAAGATGCGATGCAAAAGGCAAGGATTGACAAACTGGCATAATGAACCATTTCTGTAATGAAAATATGTAATAAAACATGCACCATTAGATTCTATAAATAATTAAACTAAATTATAACCATGACATACCATAAAAAAAATCAATATTCCAACAAGTACAAGAAAGGCATTAATTGGAACTGAGTTAATTGTACCATAAAAATAAATTGATTCATTAGATATATAAGTTTTGTGTCAAGGAGTCAAAGTTCCTTTAAAATTAAAACATCAGTTCAAACAAAGAGCTGATAGAAACAAGCAGCATAACTTTTTTTTGGAATGAACTGATATTTCACATATTAATATAACCCATATCAAAGATTAAACAAAGCAATGATACTGTTTCTGTTATCTTCAATGAACTATACATAAAACGTTTAGCTTCTTAAAATGAAATAGACAATGGTGTTTATAGCAGAGAACCAACTTTACGCACATGGAGACATAATCTGACCACTCAAAAAATATATATCAAATACGATCAAAATTACAATCATAACAAGCATTGATTTAATGAAGTCAGTCAATCCTTTTATTTCAGTTGACTTATTTTCCTTCATCCCTCCGCTGGATATCAACACGGAAGCACTTAGATACGGCTTAGCATGAAGGAAAGGAAAAAAAGACCCCCTGCAGGAAAGACTCAAACTTAAACTTCAACTTTTAGGGAGAAGAAAGGGAATTTGCAACACTTTTAGTAGAAGGCCTGGATATTTAGTTGAGTAAAAAACTCCCTCTATCCTCGGTTATTGCATCCAGGACAAGCCAGTTATTGAGGCTGTTAAGCCAAATACTTTTCAGAACAGGCCTGACTGACTATGGTTTTCAAAATTAAATTGAGTATGAAAGTGAAACAACACTTTGTTTTGAAGAGCATACCTTATCTTCACTATGTAGCAAGCAATTCCTTCTAATTCTCATCCGTACTGCCGCATAGAATTTTAAGGCGTTTCCACCACATGTAACCTCATCTTGTTCCCTGAACCCATGATTTGATCTTAAATTTGCTCTAACCTGGTCATTCAGTTAAAACTCCCTATTATTCCAGAAAAGGAATATGCAACAAAAGCATGCATCTAAAAGACATTAAAAGAGAACAACATTACATGTAATCAAGAATAACATAAGTCTTGCCATCATTTTTTTCATTTCCTTCACGCATACTTGTTATGCAAGCTTTATCCAATCACAACAAATTAAACTAAAACACAAGGCCAAGATTCTCGATGGCATCCTTGAGGAGTATTTATTAATGGTCAACTTGGCATCCTCCCTCCAAAGTAATTTTAGCCAAGCCTGATGCTTGCCATGATTAACACGGTAACCCTAAATTGTACTTGGAAAACTAGTAGTAGGCTAGGTTTCAGATACGAGTTGATAAAGTGCGCATGAAACAGCTTTTACTGGTCTGACAAAGAACTTGTAATATTATTTTTATTTTATTTCCAGCTCGTACCAAGTGGTATAGGGCCTATAGGCCGGTTTACCATCCGGTAGAAGTAGAACCATACCACACCGATATGATAGATTACCAAAATTGGTATTGAATCAATATTTAAAACCTTGGTTGTAGAAATCTTGCATAAGACCTAACACACCTGCTTCACAATTTCTCTTCAGAAATTCAGAAGCTTAAACATTATGATTGGCAATAGTTAACATCTGGAATCAAGATTAATGCACTACATTACAATCACAATTGCATCTATCCTGCACTAAATTATATAAGTCAAGAAATATGACAAAATATGTCTTTCACAAATTTTATGCAAACCAAGTTCAAACCTTTCTACTACCACGTGTGTTTTCCAAAAAAATATAGGAAGAGGAGTTCAGATAAGGACATGTACCTTTTTTCTATTAGAAAATATGGGTGCATTATGTTTGATGAGAGATAAAACTATACTCAGTATATGAGTTTATAATCTATACCACAACAGAAGTCCCCCTCACACACCTGTTACCTTCGTGTTACCTTGCTAGTTTCTATTGGAGTTGTGCAAAATAGGACAAAAGGTGTCAAAAGGAGGCTTATATTGGATTAAAAACAAAAAGGGCATTAAGTGAGAAAGCAACTCATAAAAAACTCTTGTGAAATTACCAAATGCAGATATTATTATTAACTAGAACAACTAATAAAATGCATAGAGAGAAAGACAACAAGATAATATTGCACATAAGAAAAAAAAAAGATTATGATTGAATCACTAATGATGTAACAGATTTGAAGTAGGAAAGTGATGTATGGTTAAGTTATCATTACCATTAAGACAATAGATGTAGTATTATGAATTAGTTTCGATCAAGGATCAACCTTAAATGATTATATTGTTCATTGATAGTTATACTTATTTACAAGGCTCACAATTTTGTGTACACTCGGTATGTTGTTATGTATCAAGTTTCAAAACAGTTCTGAAATATATGAAAAAATAGATAAAAAATTGTCTGCTACAAACCATATACCGACAAACCCTGTTCTGGGTGTACTGAGAGATACAACCCCTATATCAGGTCCCCATACTAATAAGTTGTCGGACCAATAAATGTCAGTATAGTATACCAATACAAGGTGGTATTCTAAACCTTATTTATTTATGCATATTCAGGATAAATTTGTATCCTTTTATGATAAACTTTAAATTTCTACATTCTGGCGCTAACAATTGAACTAGTTTAAATCAAGTAAAACTAAGTTGGTACAATTGAAATAGATAGAGACAAATTTTCAAAAGTCTAGATTTTACATATTTTAGGAGTGTCTGATGCCACAAGGTTACACCTTTGCAATCTAGCTAACTAGAGTTCAACTCTATGAAAACAATTTGTCTATTTATATATGATGTAGTGCATAACTAGATGGTAGCATTACATAATAAGGTTGCAGCAATGAATCATGATAATCTCAAGTTTCAAGCTATCAAGGCAAAGTCACCAAGCTCTAAATCAAATCATCAAGTTTCTAGACAACTAAGTCTAAAGGCACCATCAATGTTGTTTTGTAACTTGTGGCTTATCAATGTTGATAAGTCATATTCAGCATAAGTATGAGGGGTCATGAGGAACTGTCCACTTTGGGTGAGCTCACATGGTTGTCCTTTCAAGGTGAGCCCTAGGGTAAAGGGTGACTCTGTCACTCATAAGGCCTTAATTTTTCTACTTAATCAATGTAAAACTAAACGTGTTTCTCAGTGTCCCCAATAGAGAAGCTGAGGCCTCGTGACCCCTCCTTCTAGCGCTAGCTAATAAGTCATCATTTATTGTCATCGATGAGAGCACAAGAGCTCATGAGATATTATCTGTTTTAGGTGAGCCCGACAATTTTACCCTTTTGGGATGAGCCCCAAAAGGCACCTTTAAGAGTAGAGGGTGATTAGCGCCTACGAGGCCTCAGTTCCCCTACTAGGGGCACTGATAAACACGTTAGGTCTCACATCGATTGAGTAGGGGAACTAAGACCTTATAAGCACCAGAGTCACCTTCTACCCTCAGATATGCCTTTTGGGGCTTACCATAAAAGGGCAAAACTATATGGGCTCACCCCAAGCGAACAATTCCTTGCAAGCATGCCATATGAGCTCACCCAAAACGAACAATTCCTCGTGAGCTCCTATGCTCATATTGATGACGACAAATGATAACTTATCAAATGTGTTTTGCAACTTATGGTCATTAAATGAGGTTGGTGAAAGTTAAAGTAATTGACTAGGGTAGGTGCTCCTTGCTAGTATCTATAAAAAGAGAGGGGAGGAGAGTTTGAGGAATAACCTTGAGCTACTCTATAAATCCTTGTATTTGAGCTCCTAATTGTAAAGAGAAATCTATTAATGTGAAACAAGATGAAAGAAGACGACAAGAGAGAACATAAGACAAGAAAGAAAAGAGAACTTCTCTTTCTTTTCATAAGATGACGAAGAGTCAGGGTTCGTCGTACCACGATATATCGCTTGATATGAGCAGTACATATTGGTCCAATAGAGGATCGGTACGCGGTCCCCCTTGTACCGAATAATATATACTACAAGACTTTATATCGCCCGATACGAACTTGTACAGCTCAGTAACGATCAAAATCTGACCATTACCAATCGGTACCGATCAGATTTTGACCACTACCGTCGGTCGGCTCAGATCTTACCCTTTCCAACGATCAAATCCATTTGAAAGGGTTTTTAAATCCTTTCCTCCCCCTTTCACTCTCTCAATCTCTTTCTCACTCACTTCTTTCTCTCATTCTCACATTTGCACTCTCTTAAAACTTAACAAAGCTACGATTTGTCGATTAAATCATGCTTGGAAGACTCATTAGAGAGGATTAATGCCTAAGTTAGAGAAAGAACTCTCTAATGAAAGAAATGTAGACAATTTCTCTTCTCAATCGCATTCAACAACTCGCTCGGTCCGGAAACATGGCAATAACGTAAACAACAATGCCTCGACCAATAATGACGACGATGCCGAGGAGTCGATGGTTTCATCTACAAGTTTAAGGGTGATACATGGACCAAGGAGTAGTATTTTACGTATGCCACCCAAGATTTAGTTCATGAAGCTCGATGCGATAGCTGGTCATTCTTCTTCGAGTAGCAATATGATGATAATTAGTCATTCTTCTCCGGGCAACAGTACGATGATCGATCTTATCATACGAAGCAACATATCAATAGTGAAAGTATAATTACTGACATTCTCCATGCTTCGCACTAATACATGCCACAATCGTACTTGCCTTAACAGCCGCCTCGGACATATGTGGTCCACAACAATCATACTACGACCATCACCACATTGATGCACCTATGACATACGATGTATCAGTATAGTATGTCGTGGGTCCGACAAACATATCAAATTAATATACATATACATAGAATCGAGGATCTCGATCCACCGCCCATGGAGTCTCGTCAGTCTTTTTGGTAGTAGAATTAGGTACATCCATCAATCGATTATTTAATTTATTTGAATCTTAAAGTCTAAGTTATTTAACAAATAATCAAACAATTCAAATTATTTCTTTGTAAATAATTCAATATCAACAGAAGGACGGTTTGAATAATACCACAAAGCTACTTCTTAAAGTTCGAAAAAGATATGTGTCACTTTTCTTTCCTAATTTAGACTATTTTTGTTAAAATTATACCAAATTTATATTTATTTCTAACTTAAAATCCTAATCTAACTTTTTTTCTATTTTAAAGAATTTTTGGAGCTATTTTTGACCATTTTTTGTGTCATCAGTATGTCCCGCTATACCGACACATGGTATGTCAGCATGAAGCGATACGTACCATACCGTTGATCGACCGACGACCGATACACTAATTCATACAAGTAAGACGAACCTTGCTAAGAGCTAAGAGTTCAAATACAAGGATTCACAACAGATTCAAGATGTTATCCATCAAACTCTCCTCCCCCCTCCTTTTATAGATGACTACCACCTACCGCAGTTAATTACTTTAACTCTCACCAAGGCTAATTAATAACACAAGTTCCAAAACACATTAAAAGACCATAAGTTATAAAACAACATTGATCGTGCCTAGGGATATAATTGCCTAAAAGCTTGATGATTTGACTTGGAGCATGGTCTCTTTGTCCTGGAGCTACACATCTTAAAACTTGATAGCTTGAAACTTGAGATTATTATTATTTATTACGGTAATCTCATTCTCTAATACTACCATCTAGTTATGCGGTATATCAATAACTCTCCCCAAACCCCTCATCAACAAAAACCTCACATACAATGCTATCCTATAATTATATATCTTAGATTTACATAAAACCTTATGGATCAAACTGATAGGATTTTAAAAAATAATTGCTATTGATATAAGATGCATATGAAGTCACCAAAAAACAAATAAAGAATATTATTTATTAAGGACATTATTTATTTACATGTGTCCATTAGGATTAACAAAGCAATAAAAAGTTGATGAAGACAATAAACTTCATAAGAAACAAAATAATTCATAACGAAAGATTTGAATAATGCTATTGCCCTTGATAAAGTTTAACGACAAGAAAGATCCAAATAACTAACCCAAATAGTTGATGGCTCATTGATGTTATATGTAGTATCATAGCCTAAGGATGAAGAATATGACATCCTTATGATGAATTATTATTGTTTTTGGTATCGAATTTACTTCGGTGATGTGGTCAGACTACTATGCACCAGTTGGTATCGATTTTGAAAATGAAGGAGAAGAGGAAGGTAGAAGAGGAGATGGCGAAGCAAAGGAAAGAGGAGGTAGAGGAGGATAGTAGGGGAGAGGCGGTGAAGGAAGAGGAGGAAAAAGAACAAAGAAAAGCAAGCATTGGAGGAGGAAGAAGAAGAAAGATGGCAGATAGCGATAGCGGCAATGCCATCGCTTGACAACAGCGATAACATCGCACAACAATTGCACGAGGGAAATAGCTTCAACAATATCTAACAACTTCTAATAACTCCAATTCCAATACTCAAAGGACCGGAAATAGCTTCCAAATAAATAAAGGACTTGGGAATGGATTTGATAGAGTAGGTTTAGCAAACCCTTCCAAAATAATTAAATAATCAGAAAACATAAGAAAGAAAATATGCTAAATTGTTAGCATCTTATGTATATAACTTTAAACAGTATCAGCAACTACAATCCCAAAAGTCGCTAATCCAGATTCGGATTTATCATATACAACTATCTTATAAGACTTAAGCAGTACCTATGACTACTGCGCAGGGTAGATTCAGGATTGCATCAACATCAAATCTAGTACGCATTGAATAATTGCAACCACGATTTTAAAAACCAGGTAAACCAATCTGCACAGCCTGATATTTATCAGTCCGACTGGGAACCGGTACCTAGACTGGACAATTTCACATGGTCAGGTTCAAAATAAAGTTTAGCTTTCTTTTTCTTGACTTGACAGCAACAGCTGTCTTCTTTTAGGTTATTTTCCTCCCACGTTCAATTCTCTCTCACCATACTGCCGACTGCCTCACCACTGGTTGCTGGTACCTAAACACTGATGCCTGTTGCCCCATGCCACCGCTGCTTCCTTCATCAATGACACTCCACCTTCTCTTCCTCCTACTTTAGCTCCTCCTCCTCCCTTCTTCTTTCCCCATCTCTTTCGTCCATGCCAACAACTATGCTGACATATTGTGTGTCAGCATATGCTAGTATATACCAGACCATTTGGATCTAGCCAAGGAAACTTGAATCCTTGATTGCAACATCTTCAAATATAGTTAAAAATGGTTATTCTGGTTCTACAAAATTTTCAAGGGTCGATTATAATTAATTCTAAGGGAAAGGAAATCAATAGGATATTTATAGGAAACTAAAACCTACTTGGAATAACCAACAGAACTTGTGTAACTTTATAATAAAATACCAGGTTTAGATTCGAAATTAGGTTCTTTGTTAGAACCCTTGCAGATTCTAAACTTGGGGTTGATCTCTTTAGGGGATCGGCCTCCTTGGAACTCTATAGGGGTTCCTCCCTCCAAGTTGTTGTTCAAAGGCTGCAAAAAAGATTCATCCATTGCTTATGAAAAGAGGAGGAATACATGACTATTTATAGGGCTTCTAAACCCTAACTCCTAATATGACTCCTACTCAAAACTCCTACTTCTAACCAACTCCTAATATGACTCATACTCAAGACTCCTATTCCTTTACAACTCCTAATTCTTCTCTAAGAAACAACCTCCTAACTCTAGCCGGCCTCTTCACCTCTTTAATAGGGGTCGGCTTAGGTAGATTTTACATTAATGTCCCTCTCAATTAGGACTCTCCAAGCTAGAGTCCTAACATTCTTTTATTTCCCTTAAGGTTATTTGTACGCTTTTTTTTTAATGAAATATTTGTTATGTTGAAATGCTACACAAGATATAGAAACAATCACCTAATTTCGAGTAAAATTAACAGAATAAGTAATTTACCAGTATCATTTGAGATAGTACTTGAATAGATATTGTAGTTAAAACTCAAATCTGTAACATATTCTTGTTTCTAATATACTGTTCATCTTACATATCTAGAAAAAACATTCCTCCAAGAGAAGAGTCAGAATTGCCAAATTGATTTCAAAAATGTCATTGATACAAAAAGTATATGCAATATGCATATAAAGCAAGTTTAATTTTATCCAATCATACAATGCTAATAGGGCTATCAAGCAATTTTCTTTTATTGGTGCACTGCTGGGAGAAGAGCTTATTACCTGATTAACAAAAATGATGATAGTTTGTGACCGACACAATGAGTAATGAATTTTTCGAAGAGCTTGTGTCATCAACCTCGACTGTACCTTTCGGGGATAAATATCTGTCACACCATCAAGTTCACACCCAGGAACAAGGGCTGCCACCTATGGCATCCACAACAATCACAATCAAGAGACCATTTAATCAGTTTGATTTAAGCATACTCAAGAAGGTGACAAATAACAATTAGCTATTGTTGAGATCTATCAAGCCATATGAATAGAAAGTGATCATTCTTGGAATTGAGATATCACCATTAGGTTAAAATTTTATTATTTCATTACATCATCAGAAAGTAATAATACGTCATTCTTTTAAATTATAAGAGGTGCCATCATATATATATATATATGTATATGTACATATACATATGTATATGTACATATATATATATACATATGTATATGTACATATATATATATACATAT